TGTGTGTGTGTGTGTGTGTCAGCTGCAGTTGTGGGGGAGGAGCTTCAGTCACTGAGGAGTCAGTTGTTGCTGATCCACAGTCAGCTTCAGTACGAACGTTTCAAACGGCAGCAGCACGCCATCAGAAACCGCCGCCTGCTGCGTAGAGTCATCAATGCTACCGCGCTGGAGGAGCAAAGTATCGCCATGGTAACCATTCACATGTCAACCCTGTCTGAGCAGTGTCCCCATAGAAACACACACAGGTCGACACTTTAAGCATAGTGTTGTCATGGTGACACTACATTTTCTTCAATTTATTGGCAAGTGGCAACCAACATCGAGGTGCTCTGCAGAACGCACATCAACAACTTTTCTTTCTTCCCTTTAAGTGATTTATACAACTGTGTGTGTGTGTGTATCTGACACAGAGGGCTCAGTTGGGCGTTCAGGACGAGGAGATTCGTTCTCTGAAATTGAGTCTGGAGGAAGAACAAAGACGTTACACACAACTGCAGCAGGACACACACACACACACCAACCAGATGAACACACAGATCCAACAACTGCTGCTGCAGCAACAGGACAAGCAGACACACAACCAGAGGCTGCAGGTACACACACACACATACATTAATACACACACACAAAATAATACTCATGCTGACACACACATTTACACACATTAATACACACTGACACACACAACAACCAGCTGTGCTGTGATTGGCTGTTTCAGAGCGACCTTCAGGAGTGTCAGTGCAGGCTAAGAGTTGTGGAGGCGGAGCTTCAAAGAGCCAATAACAAGGCCTATAACTCTGAACATCAGCTGACCCAGCTGTCACTCAAGGTGAGGATCACTGTGATTGGACAGTTCTTTTCATGTAGAGATAGCTCATCCAATCCGAGAGAAAAAGAATGATGATGAAGAAGACGATGATGGGGAGTGTGTGAGTGTGTGAGTGTGTGCGTGTGTGCGTGTGTTTGTGTTTGTGTGTGAGTGATGCTGTGTCTCTTTGTTTCTCTGCAGTTGAGCAGCAGTGAGCAGTTGCAGCAGCAGATCTTCATGATGAACCAGCAGCTCGTCCTCCTCAGAGAAACTAACAGAGCTCTGACCAATCAGCTGGAGGGAGGAGAGGCCGAGCGCTGGACTGTACGATAACAGACACACACACACACACACACTTGTCTCTCTATAGTTGTGAGGACGCTCATTGACACTATGCATTCCCCAGCCCCTTACTTTAACCTCTCTATGATTTGTGAGGACCAGCAAAGATGACTCAACAAAGAAAATTATTAAAAGATTAAATCAATGATCAGTCGATCAATGAAAGTTTATCTGCAGCTGGTGATCGTTGAAATGTTTCACTGAAGAAAACAAGGGAACAAGTTCATGTCGGGTTCTGGAACGTTTTTAGAAAGATATCGGTGAATTAATCTAAAATGCAAATAGTTGTATTATCTCTTTTAGCCTGATTATTACACAAAGGTGTGTGCGCAGGAGGTGTCCATGCTGCAGTGCAGTGTGGGTAAAGAGTGCCAGCGTCTGAGGGACAGCGAGGTCCAGCAGAGACAGATGCTGGAAGCAGCCAATCACAGGATCGTGGAGCTGGAGAGCCAGCTGACCAAGAAAGATCAGTTGATCCAGGATCAGAAGAAACTCCTGGAGGACACCAAGGCCCAGAGCAGGTCAGATTCCCAAACAGTTACCTAAACTATTCAACCTTAACCAGCTAACCCTGACCAGTTACCTAAACTATTCAACCTTAACCAGCTAACCCTGACCAGTTACCTAAAC